CTCTAATTCAAACATTACCTTCCAGGGATGTATTTCTGTTATTCCCTTTTCACCTGTACTTCTACGTCACTGGATCTCCTGGTTCTTCTAGTTTCTTTTTCTAATCTTCACTCTTTTCCTGCATTCATTTCCTTCCTCATTCAGTTTAGATTTCATAGTTCATCTCTTCAATCATTCCTTGGACTTTTTTCCTTTTTTTTTTTTTTTTTTTTTTTAATACATTTGTCTTTTCACTGCACCTATCTGGGACAATGAAAGCCCAACCACTCACTTCCCTAGACAAGCACTTAGCAGCTGAGCCCTGCTGGAGAAGATCATAAAACTGGGCAGAATGGGGCCATAATAAATTCACAGCCACCAACCTCATTGCTCACTACTGCCAAACAGCCCTGTGACATGTCTCTTATCAGTCTGTTCTCTCACTCATCACAGTAAATTTTCAAATTCATCCCTACTCAAATCTCGGGCTGCCCCAGCTCTCCTTGCATTCTCAGATGATAGTTTCATTCTTTAGAAAGTAAATTTAAGCCATCATACATAAACAAACTCATCTTCAGCTCCTAAGTCTAGCTATATACAGTATGTCAACCACCCTCCTGCACTTTCCTACTTTAATAAAGAATAGTTGGGAGCCAGCAGGTGGCGTGATGGTTAAGGGCACTGGACTCCCACATGGCCGAGTTCTGGACCTGGTGACTTGCTTTCTCTCTTTCTCTCGCTCTGTCCTTCTCTGGTCAAATTAAGATAAGTAAATAAATAAAGTTAAATAAAATAATTCAATAATAAAAAAAAGATTTATACCTCTATGCCATTTCTGGAATTCCATTGTCTCTCACTTTCTTGGAGCCATCCTCACTTAATTACCTCTCCTCTCCTCTTCCTCTCTACCAGCTTCATCCTATCAACATTCAAATAATTTAAACTAAATTCCACCCTTAAAAATATCTCAGGGGGATGGGAACCAGCAGTTAGCGTAATGGCTATGTCACTGGACTCCCACGTAGTCAACCACGGTTCGTGTCCTGGACCCGGTGGCATAACACTCACGTTGGGCACGTGTGCGTGCGTGCCCCAGATCCCCTATAAGAAAAAAACTTCTCCAAAAAAAAAAAAAAAAAAAAAAAATATATATATATATATCTCAGGGGGGCAGCAGGTGGCATGGTGGTTAAGACACTGGACTCCCATATGGCCAACCATGGTTCAAGTTCTGGATCTGCTAGCTTGCTTTTTTGTCTTTCCTCTCCCTCTCTGTCTTTCTATGGTCAAATTACATAATAATAATAAATAAAATAAAAAATAACTCTTTAAAAATAATATCTCCATGGGTCAGCTCAACATTACACTACCAAGAGAAGCCAGATCATACATGGCAACCACTGTTCAAAGTGCTTGCTGGGTCAGCCTGAAACACACTGGGCACACACGAGTGCCCAAGATTGGATGGGCTGGAGGACTGGAGGAAGGGGACTGTGGCATGACAAGGCCCTGAGGAGGGCATTCATCTCTCTCTCCCCCACCCCACTCAGGTGTGTGTGCATGTCTCCATTATGAAGAAAAAACATTTTAAAAATACCTCCCATAACCCTACTTCTCCTTCTGGTTATCACCCTGTTTCTCCTCTCCACTTCTGGTAAGAGAAGCAGAACTTCTGTTTTGTTTTTTTTCAATAACTGGGCTGATATCTAGAACCAGCCTATTCTTCAGGTTACAATCTACTATGATTAGTAAGGATCATGAGTACTGTACCTTTCAGTTTGCTAATCCTACCTATTGATGTTTGATTTATGGAGTGGCCCCAAACGTGCTTCTTCTTCCTTTTTTTTTTTTTTTTTTTTAAACCAGAGCTCCACAGTATAACCAGCAAAGTTAAGCCAAGGGAGCCAGTGGCACACCAAGTAGTCCTGACCTGCCCCAGGAGGCACATTTCCCATAATCATTTGTAGGGTCTGTTTCGAAGTGTGTCAGAGGAGTCCATCCTCCCTGGAGGCCTGCAATAGGGCATGCCATCCCCAGTGCCAAGGTGCCATCAGCTGAGAAACAAAAGGCCCCTGAAAGGCTGTTCAAGTGACCTAATGAGTGCCTGTAGCCCAAATTTTATAGTGTGTGTGCATGTGTGTGTGTGTGTGCATGTGTGTATGCGTGTGTGTGTGCATGTGTGTGTGTGCATGTGTGTATGTGTGTGTGCATGTGTGTGTGCATGTGTGTATGCGTGTGTGTGCATGTATGTGTGTGCATGTATGTGTGTGCATGTGTGTGTGTGCATGTGCGTGTGTGTGTGTGTGTGCATGTGTGTGTGCGTGTGTGTGTGTGTGTGTGTGTGTGAGAGAGAGAGAGAGAGAGAGCGCTCCCTTTAGACTGGTGAATTTATCAGCAATTCATATTTTGGTGAGATATGAAACGAGAGTAGTTAGTTCCAGGGAAGAGTTGTAGTGCTAGCTCACATTCTTATTTTTCACAATTTTTTTTAAGAGAGATTTTTGCTATTGGACATGTACACTCGCCGGAGAGACAGAGAGAGACAGAGAGACAGAAAGTGGGAAATCATCCCCTAGGAGGGATGGCCACGCCATAATCCCTTTTCCTCCATTCTGTTCTTAGGATTTTAGGCACCCATGCACATATGCTCGGCGTGAGTCTTAAGCCACTGTGTCTGAGACTCAAACTGCGATTGACTATGTGGGAGTTCAGGGACATAACCATTATACCATCTCCTGGTCTTTTATTTTTCACAATTTTAAGTTTCAAACAAATTTTGTCATAAGTGGTAATCAAGGTGATGTCATTATAACCAATGGCATTATTTGACCAATCACACTGTGACTCTGACTTGATTTCTCACCTCCCATTTATTTCTATTTTTTTTTTTATTTATTTTTAGGGTTTTGTCACAGGGTGTGTGCACTTGCCAGAGAGAGAGACAGAGACAGGGAAAACGAGAAGTCATTCCCCAGGAGGGATGGCCATGACACAATCTCTTCTCCATTCTCCTTTCAGAATTTTGGGTGTTTGCACATGAACCTGGTGTGATTTTCAAGATGCCAAGTCTGGGACTTGAACCATGGTTGGTCATGTGAGATCCAGCTCCTTAACCACCATGCCACCTCTGGCCCCTGCCACTCCCCATTTAAATCCAGGTTCTCTTCTCAAAACTCCATGGGGGCTGTTCTCACACGTGCTCAGATACCTCAAAATCTACAAGATAGAAATCATAATCTTTTCCCTCAAACCCTCCTCTTACAAATTCTAGGGCTCAGGAAATGGCTTTACCATCTATCCAGCTAAGCATATCAGCAGTCGTTCTCAGTTCTTCCCTCTCCCTCCCTATCTCCCAACTCCAATCAGATATCAAGTCTCACACATTTTACCTTTTATATCTCCCCACTGCCACCACCTCATCCAGGCCTCCTTAAACTCTCACTTGAACCACACAAACAGCCTCCTGCTCTTGTACCTCCCTCTCTTTAGGACATTCCTTCCATTGCAGCCTAAGTAGTTTTTCAAAATTCATCTGATCAAGTCCCTTTCTTTCTTTTTAGTTAATTTACATATTCATTGTGAAAGACAGAGAGAGGGGAGAGAGAGACATACCTAACAGGGTCTTCACCCCCAATGCACCACTAACCTCAGCCAGCCAGGATCACAGGCATGCACAGTCTCAGTGTGCACAGGGAGACGTTGGGACACCAACCCGGGACCTTCCCATATGGCTTCAGGAACATTGTGTTACTGCTGAGCCACAGCAGCTAGTTCTGATCACATCCCTTTCTTGACTCTTAGGATAAAGTCCAAATTCTTAGTGGCTTAGAGGAAACTCTGTGGCCTGCCCCCTGGCTACTTTTCTGGCATCTTCTATTGTCACTTGATTTCTTAGCTTTTTCCAGTCCAACTCTATCTCTTGCAATTCTTCAAACATGCATGCCTTTCCCGCTTCTGGGTCTCTGCACAAGTTGTTCCTCTGCTTGACTCATTCCTTGTTTTCACTCAGCTATTTCCTATTTATCCTTCAGAGTCTAGCTTAGAGGACACTTTCCCAGGAAAGCTTCCTTGACTTTATATTAATCTGCCATGTGTTCCCATAGCACTGTGCACTTTTTATCACTGTTGGATTTATTCGTAATTATTTAATCTCTGTCTTTCCTCATTAGGATGCATGTTGCATGAGGACATTAATGCATTTATTAGGTTATTGAAAAGTCATGACATATTTTTCTATGTTCTATGCAAAAATGCACAATGACTTCTCTGACAACCCAATGTCATGCATAACCATATCTTTAGTACCTTGCTGATGTTCAATAATAGTCAAGTCTCAATAAGTAGTTGCTGACTTACGGGATTACTGAAACACGGCTCTTCCTAGTTAAGAATTCTGTTTTGTTTTTTTTTTTCGTTGCTGTTGTTTTTGAGCGTGGCTATTCCTAGTTAAGAATTCTGGTTTTTTTTTTTTTTCGTTGCTGTTGTTTTTGAGCGATTTTAGCTATAGGGCGCGTGTGCTTGCCAGAAAGACAGAAAGCGAGAAATCACCCCCAGGGAGGATGGCCACACCGCAATCCCTTCTCCTTCATTCTCCTCTCGGGATCTTGGGCATGCACGCACACGCGCCCGGCGTGAGTTTAAGCCATAGGGTCCAGGACTCAAAACGTGGTCTACTACATGGGAGTTCAGGACAGCCATTATGCCAACTGCTGGTCCCAGGATTCTGTTTTAATGTGCAGCTAAAACCTAAGCACTAATTGTTCATCATATTTGTGCTTTCCTTAAGACCTTCAACCTTTATTTTCTATTTCACAAGGCTTGTTATGTCTATGCTATACTCCCCGCTTCCTCTTTTCTCCCTTCCCAGTGATGTGTCACAAATTGATGTATTTTTATTGGGTTAGGCCCAGGTAATCTCCCTGTTTATAGCTCTGACCTTTCTGTGCGCAAACACACAAAGTGAACTTTGGTTTATCTCTGACCATAATGTATCTGCTAATTACTGGCAGGCAGGCTGTATTCCAGTGCCCATGTGATCAGTGGCACTGGCCAGAAAGGAACGTGGGGAAGAGTGGGCTGAGAACTCAGGTAGTGGCTGTTCAGCTGGAGTTCCTGCCTCCCTAAAAGTCCAGAGCAAAGCAAGTGGGCTCAAGAAGTATGGTTCTGAGGTGAACGAAGTCATGAAGACGCCACTGTTGAGCTTGGCTTTGTGGTTGCTGCTCTTCCAGCCTGGGATGATGTTCCTGTCTGATGTGAGTCGGAACTGCCATGATGGTACCTACGAGATCACCGTCCTGATGATGAACAACTCAGCCTTCCCAGAGACCCTGAACAACCTGGAAATAGCAGTGAATGAGGGACTGAAAATAGTGAAACAGCGTCTGGATGAAGCTGGTAAGAATATGCTCATAGGATCCTCCTCTGCTCTGTTGCCACCTCAGGGGACAAAGGGCTACTAAATGAAGACCTTGTGTTCTTTGCCTGATCACCCAACCTTCTCTAAGGGCTGGCTCCAAACCCCTTCATATTTCAAGATCCTCAGAGAGATGAATTTGAACCTAATGTGTTGTGCTCACTCACAAGTCACCTTACTCTGGGTAAGCCCCAACCCAAGAAATGTAAAGTATCCACAATATGAAATGTCTCAGTTAAAACAGGGTTTGGGAAGCTTAGTGGTTTCGTGATGGTGTGCTATTCAAGAGATGCTGAATCCATACAGGAGATTATGGGTTCTGTTCCCCAGTTGACCTGTACATGGTGGGCACATGCCCCATAATCTTGGCTGGCTAGGAAGGCTGAGGGGAGGAGGAGACTGTGACATAAGATACTGTCAAGGGTATTTCTCTCTCTCTCTTTCACTGTCATGTGAGAAAAAAACGTCTTAAAAAATTAGGTTTATTGCCCAGTTCTAGGGAAGCAGCATTTCTTTTTTTATCTGCTCAGAGGCAAGATTTTGTCTGGACCTAAAATTTCACAGGGTAACTGGTCAACAAGATGAACTGAGAGTAAAATTTATGCTGACATCAAATCTTCCTCTGGGCCTTTCATCCAGAGAAAGGGTTTTTCTCTGGATTTGTTCACTTTTTTTCTATCTATGCTAGATGTCTTATCAGATATAGTCAATATTATAAATTTACAATAAGTTTATTATTGCAGTTCCTCATTATAGCTTTTATTTATAAGAATAAACTTTAAGAGACCAGCAGTTAGCGTAATGGCTATGTCACTGGACTCCCACGTAGTCGACCACGGTTTGCGTCCCGGACCTGGTGGCTTAAAACTCATGCCGGGCGCGTGTGCATGCGTGCCCAAGATCCCGAGAGGAGAATGGCAGAGAAGGGATTGCGGCGTGGCCATCCCCCCTGGGGGGTGATTTCTCGCTTTCCGTCTCTCTGTCTCTGTCTGTCTGGCGAGCGCACGCCCCCTATAGTGAAAACCTCTCCAAAAAAAAAAAAAGAATAAACTTTAAGACATTGCATTAAATACATAAAATGAAGAGAAAAACATCACTCAGCCATCAGGATATTTCCAGTCTGTTTTCATATTCTTCTTAGTTTCTCATTTTAGGAATGTGGTTGGTGACCATTATGGAGTAGAAACAGTTCTGTGTCCTCTTGGTTCTCTTCACATTATGCCACATGTGATTTTTCTATAGCTACATGGTCTACATAGTCACCATCTGAATAGATATATAATATCTCCTGGAATATATATCCCAAATTACCTAATAATACGCTATTGTAGAATATTCCATTTGTTTTTAATTTTGCATGATCATTTTTATAATACTGCAATAAACATTTTCATGTATATAGTTTTTTGCTATTCATTTAGACTAGATTTCTAGAAGGAAAATTATTCAGTCAATAAGTATTTAATGCATCTTAATAATTGTTTGTGGTTTTAAATATTGCATGTCTTGGGCAAGCCCAATGACTGAGGGTTAGGGGAACTGGATCCCAGATGACCAATAATGCAGTTCAAGTCCTGGCTCCAAAGGCTTAAAAAACACACTAGGCACATATATACACATGCCCTAAATCGCAACAGGATAGAGAAATGGAGGAAAGAACCCCATTGAGAGGTTCTTTCTCTCCAACTCCCCTTGACCACTGTGTCTCTCTGGCAAGCATACAAGCTTTCTTAGGGGGAAAGAAAAAGAAAAAAAATTTTTTTTTAAATTTTTTAAAGAAGAATGGAATGCCTCAATTTTCTCTATTTAAAATCCTGTGGAAATAAGAGCAATAGTTCATATGTGCATAATAACTTACTTCTTTTTTATTTTTTGAGAGGTTTTCGCTATAGGGTGTGTGCGCTCGCCAGACAGACAGAGAGAGACAGAGAGACAGAAAGCAAGAAATCACCCCCCAGGGAGGATGGCCATGCCGCAATCCCTTCTCCTCCATTCTCCTCTTGGAATCTTGGGCACACACGCACATGCGACAGGCATGAGTTTAAGCCACCAGGTCCGAGACTCGAACCATGGTCGACTACATGGGAGTCCAGCGACATAGCCATTACGCTAACTGCTGGTCCCATAATAACTTACTTCTGTGCATATACAAGATATCTCCAATTTTGTCTGAAACTAGATGCAGACCTAAATGGCCTAGAGCTATAATGGAAGGAGATTATCTAATAAAATTCCTTTATATACTAAGGTTGTGTGGGATCATGGAAAGAATACTGGATTTGAAGTCTAAGTACCTCGATTGGGGCCCCTGCCCCAAATGTTTCTCACTCTGTGACCCTGGATGAGTAAAGTCCCTTCATCTCTCATGGGACTAGCAGATGGCATGGTGGTTATGTTGCTGGACTCCCACATAGTCAACCGTGGTTCGACTCCTGGACCTGGAGGCTTGAGATGCACGCCGGGCATGTGTGTGCACGTGTGCCCAGGATCCCAAGAGGATGCACGCCAGGCATGTGTGTGCGCGTGTGCCCAGGATCCCAAGAGGAGAATGGAGGAAAATGGAGAAGGGACTGCGGTGTGGCCATCCTCCCAGGGGGTGATTTCTTGCTTTCTGTCTCTCTGGTGAGCACAAGTGCCGTATGGCAAAAATCTCTCTTAAAAAAAAAAAAAAATCCCTTAGTCTCTCTGAGCTGCAGTTTCTTTGTTTATTGAGTATCTGTCTCATGCTAAGATCTCTCTACTTTAATTACATAATCTCTTTAATCATAACAGCTCTGTGAGGTTAGCATGATGACACTGGTTTCATGGCCAAGGTTAATAATTTTGCTAAGGTCACAGAGCTTATCTGTTTAAAATGAAATTCAGACTCATAACAGCCTGATTCCAAGGAATGATCCATGAGCTGATCTTTGGAAGAGTGCGTGAATCACCTTTGGAATCCACTGTATAAGATCTTTACCCACCGGGACCAGCAGTTAGCATAATGGCTATGTCGCTGGACTCCCATGTAGTCGACCGCAGTCCGCGTCCCGGACCCGGTGGCTTAAAACTCATGTCGGGCACGTGTGCGTGCGTGCCCAAGATCCCGAGAGGAGAATGGAGGAGAAGGGATTGTGGCGTGGCCATCCCCCGGGGGGGGAGGGGTGATTTCTTGCTTTCTATCTCTCTGTCTCTGTCTGTCTGGCGTGCACACGCACCCTATAGCAAAAACCTCTTAAAAATCTTTACCCACCAAGAACTGTCTTTCTCATTAAAACAAGGCAGTTTCCAAATCTCTGCCATTGTGGTTAGAGGCAGGATTTGGAATCTGGAAGATATCAGTTCATATTCTCACCAGACTATTTACCACCAATGACTTCAAGCAAGTTACGTAAGTTTTCTGAACCTTAGACCCCTCACTATAAAATCAAGATAATTGGTAGCTTCATGTAGATAGGAGGTGGATGTGGTGAGAAAGTTCATAGAGAATACTTTATACTGTGACTGAAATATAGTAAGAATTCAACAAATGGTGGCTGTTTTCTTGTCACTGTTGTTGTGGTTGGGGATGTTAATGCTGTTGCTGCCCTTGTCCCTGTTAGGAGAACATGTTGCCAAGCATGTAACATAAACAGTATAGTATATTAAGGTTCAGTAAAGTCTCTGAACTCAGACAACCTGAATTTGAATTCCTGCTCCATCATGTACTAGCGGGCTGTAGAAAAAGTCATGACATGTTTTTTGTTTTTCTATGCAAAAATGAGCCATGACTTTTCTGACAACCCAATAGTTAAGTGACATTGGGTGGGTCCTTTAACGTCTCTAGGTTTCACTCGTGTCATTTGTAAAATGGACTTACTAATGGTGAGGTTTTAAAATGGATTATGTAAGTGGAGAGTTATGTGGAGAGGGAGGAATAAATCGTAACTGCATTTGATGAATTTTGTTGGATGGATGTTCACTCAAAATAAGCACAAGAGGAACAAATTTGGGGGGAAACATAATGTTTTTAAATACATTGAGCATTATCATTTGGGGAAAAAAAAATCTAAGACAATATATCTGAGTGCTAAAGTGAAGTTCAAGAGTTCAGAGAGGATTTGGTGAAAAGATAGGATCCTTCAACCTCAGGACATCGCCTCCTCAAGAATGTACACTCCAGTGGGAACCAGCAGTTAGCGTAATGGCTATGTCGCTGGACTCCCACGTAGT